AACTTTTAGTCCAAAGTTTCAATTTCAGGCTCAAAACATATCATTCCACCTAAATCTGCATTCTGGACCACTGTGCATTGGTACTCAGCACGGAAAACAAGATCGACGGAAAACAAATCAAGGAAAAAAAAAACACAAAACATGTCTGGTACCTCTATATATGCATTTACTTTAACATTTGAAATCCCTCCTTTTTACATATTCTGCACAAAAGATAATTTATGCCCCGCCCCATACATAAAAATCGGCGGGAAATTATGTGAGGCGTGAGCTATTTTGTGTACAGAATGTGTAAACAAGGAGGGACTTCGAATAATAATCTAAATGCATATATAGAGGTACCAGACATGTTTTGCACTGCAGTGTCCTCTGTGAACAATTATAGGAAAACGGATTGTGTGAAGTGTCCGATAGATGTCACCGCAAACAACAGCAGTGACATATGATGGAACATGAATGCAGAAGCTTGACAAAATGATTAATTGGAGAGGTAGGTGAAGAGGTAACATTTGTCTCATGTCAACGATGAATGGATTAATCATTCCCACACAGGACCTTGAAGGAGCTAGAGTTGCGTTCGGGAGTGCTGATAGGTATTCAGTTTCAAGCAAACTTTTATTGATTATTGAGCTGCCCATATTATGTATTTAAGGATAGCTCAGATGGTATGTATGTTTGTAATAAATTTTCTAACATATGTATGTGCTTCGTAAGAAATTATAAAAACATTCACTAAAGAAACAACCCTGTCTCTCGTTCTTATTTTCGGGTTAATTTTTCCACAGTTAAATAATCTTCTAATAAATGAATAATATTGTCCAATTAAACGTTACATCACATGATAATCAGCATCGCTGTTTAACGAAGCAATGATGTCTAATAAGCACTGAATAGTCAAATCGAGCGCCACATCTAAAGCACAGTGAATCATGGAGGAGGAAATGTGATGGTTGGGGGTATTTTTCGTAGAGTGGAGTATGAAGCCTCGTGAAAATCGACGGGATAATGACGGCAGATTCTTACATCAATATCCTGCGGGAAAATCTGGGGGTTTCGCTGATCCAGAGAGGCCTTGAAGATAAGTTCATATTTCAGCAGTACAACGACCCCCTAGCAGCACACTTGTCACTTAATAGTAGTTGTTACTTGTATGCACCTAATTTCAATCACAATCATGTTGCAGCAACCTATTTTGATGGATGTGTGTTGCTTGAGCCCGAAGCATACTGCCAAGAAGACCATTTATTTCTTCCGGTCTTGTCGGATTAAACCGCTGGAATGGCCTCCACAAAGCCCGGACCTCAACCCAGTCGAAAATTTGTGGGCGATTCTCGATGCCAGAGTTGACAAAACTGGTATTACCAATAAAATAACTAGTTTGAAGCCCTGGAGCGCGCCAGGGAAGAGCTAGATCCACAACACTTAAAGAACCTGGTGGAGAGCATGCCGAAACGCCTGCATCAGGCCCTGAAGGCCATAGGAGGACACATTAATTATTAAAATGCTATTCTTTTACTTTAATTTATCTTTTGTAGAGCCAACTTTTTTGTTAATATAAATTGCATTTTTTTTCTTTGTAAAACTTTTTTTTTGTATTCCATAAGTGAAACTTTAAAAGAATATTAAAAAAAAGATATCAAAAATGACTAGTATCAGTGTACAGTGTAAATGAGATAAATTCAAAAAATTATGAGGTGGGCACTTTTTTGTGCTTATCACTGTATCTGTCAAAAGATGAAATGTGAGATTGATATACTGCATATCCTATCGCCTGTGTGAATACAAATTACTAAGTGGAATTAAATGAACAATAATAAACTTTTTTGGTCTCACATTTTCATGATACTACAATCATTGTCGAAGCGTTGGCAGACATATTTTTGTGGAGTCAAAGTCGAAGTCAATTGGATACTAGTTTTCAATGTTATGAGCAATGATTGAAGCGTATATGGTTTTCAAAAATATTAATTCTCCTAAATGAATTTTATTTCGCCAGTGGATAACAGTTGATTTTAAATCAACATTGAGCTACGATGGATTTCTATCGTATAAGAGGTGACTGCATGACAATTGTTAAATCGTGTATAAGCTTCATGATATGTAATGCACGCTTACTTCAGCGTACTCACCGGGTGAGTCGATCATACTCAATTTCTTCTGAAGCATTAGGTTGTCAAAATCTGTGTAAACGAGAAATGTCAAACTGAGTAAAAGCCACTCAGTCATCTAAATCCGGGACTTAGAAAAAATGCCAGTCGTGTCGGAGCAAGCGCTGTAAGTAGGAATTGCATGTGGAGACCAGCCTCCTTTCAGCGCTGAGCAAATTGTTCGAGAAACTTATTCTCAATCGTTTGTTCAAGTTTGTCGAGGAGCACAACATTCTCCTACCGGAACAGTTCGGGTTCAGGAAGGAGCACTCCACAAATCATCAGCTAGTGCGGGTGATGAATAACATTCGAAGTAACAAGGCTGTATCCAAGTCTACAGCCATGGCATTGTTAGACGTTGAAAAAGCGTTTGACAATGTCTGGCATAATGGGCTTGTATACAAGCTTTGTAACTTCAACTTTCCTTTGCATCTTGTTAAAATCACCCGTAACTACCTTCAGCAAAGGTCGTTCAGGGTATCGTTGAATGGTTGCAATTCAAGCACATTTTCCATCCCAGCAGGTGTTCCGCAAGGAAGTCTGTTGGGCCCTTTGCTATACAGCATCTACACTTCCGACATTTCTCTCTTGGGTAACGGTTGCGTGTTATTTCTGTTCGCAGATGATACCGCTATAACCGTCAAGGGAAGGATGCCTCGTGAAATAACAAACAAGCTTCAACGATGCCTTGACGCCTTTGTTGATTATGCCACCACGTGGAAAATCAAAATCAATGCTAAAACCCAAACAATAATGTTCCTCCATCGGCAATCTCCCAAACTAAAACCAGCTCCCTCTTGTACTGTAATCATGGATGGCACAAGGGTTGAGTGGTCCGCCGAAGTAACCTATCTCGGGATGTTGTTTGACGAAAAGCTCCTATTCCGCTCGCATGTGGAGAAAACCGTAATCATGTGTTCCGCCTTGGTTAGGTGTCTGTATCCGCTGATTTGCCGTAGATCCCGCCTCTCAAGGGTGAACAAACTGGCTGTCTATAAACCAATCATAGCACCTGCGATCCTCTTCGCAGCTCCGGTGTGGAAATCATGTGTTCAGACTCACAGGAACAAAATCTAGGTAGCTCAGAACAGAGTGCTTAGGATGGTTCTTGATCGCCCCTTGGACACAAGAATTTCAGACCTCCACCAAGAGGCGAACATTCCAAAATTAGATTTCAAAATTGATTAGATTAAGACTAGGTTTATGCAGAAATGCTATATATCTGAACATGCTTTGATAAGCAATTTGTATATAGTAGGTTAGGTGTATGTAGAAGTTACAGGTTAATTGTAGTTGTAAATAGTAGTTATAAGTAGTCTCCTTTTTTCAAATTCAAAACAAACCAATCCCACCTAGGTGGTCATACTCTTATAACAGGCCTGATAGGACTAGGAACTGTAAATAATAAGTAAAATCTAAAATGTACTAAAGTTGAAAAGACGCATCTGTGTCACTTGATAATCCATACATGTAAACCAAACAAATACAAGAAATAAAGATCATTTAAATGTCAAATGCATGTGGAGACGGTTTTCAGTCGTCTTCAGCTCCAGCTAAATGAATCTGGAGCAGGTGATTACCATTTTTTTTATCAAAACAAATTTAAAAAATAATTAAACCTCCCGGCTGAAAATATCACAGTGTGGTTTTGACTCACTTTGCGCGAGAACGTCGTTTACTCAAAAGTGAGTAAAAGTGTGCCTACTCACTTTTGAGTAGCCATACTTCCCGCTGAAATGAGCATGTTCGTCTCAATTTTGAGTTGATGCGAATTACCGTGTGGTTTTATTGTTAATTTTAATGTTGTATTGAGTGTAACATTTCTTGTTTCTGACTCATTGTTCTTATTACGGATGTCACTTCACGGTGAAAACTTGTCACTTGTCGTCACGGTGAAGTGATTCCCATTTGATTTGTACGACAATCACGGCTCTTATTCCGAATATCACTTCCTTATCACCGTGTGGTGACACCCGTAATAAGGCCCATATTCACAAATTTAATTGAAATTTAACGCAAATTCTTTATTTTCATACCATTACATACCGTTCCTGCATCCTTGTTCGATTACCAAAATTGTTGTCAATACAGTCAAGCTTTGCTTTACAGAATGTATTTATCGTGTAATTGTATCCTAGTATTACGAAAACTCCTCTCAGTTTATTATTATGAGTGAAAGAAGCGTTGTTTGAAAAAATCGGTGTATTTCCAATAAAACTAAAATCCATCCGAGACGACGTTTTTAAGTAAACAAAAACTGACCTAGGCCCACGGTGTAACACCACCACGAATGAACGTTTCCAATAAGATGCACCCTTGACAGCGGCGCAGTGGCTCGCATTTCACAGCAACCGCTGTAACGATACCCAAACGGTGCACTGTTTGCAGCGGTACGATCACATGTTGCTGTTGCGGCTTGCCAGTGGCCACAAACGAAACGACTCAATTTGAACGCGCAGCGCAATAAAAGCTTTCCGAACCGCAAAAAGTGACACGTGAAAGTGTGATCACGTCTGATGGCTATGGGGATAGAAGCTTGTGGGATGAATATTGTTTCCACTCCAGCTTTTGTATATGATGTTATCAAAGTGCAATGCAACGAAAACATGCCATGGATATGGATGTTCCTCAAGTGAAATAGCTGCTATTTTCACATTAGGATGCATGCTTTGCTTGAATAACGGCAATGGATAGAGTGATGATACGGAAGCAGGAAATGGTTCACCCTTGTTGGGTGATGCACAATTAATGATATTGGGACATTTGGTGAGCTTGTTTGTTTGTCACTATAAAAGAGACCATGGATGTGCGGGTGGCAATTATTACATTCATTCAAGTGGATCAGTGCCAATCTGAAGTCGAAAATGAGCGGTGCAAATATCGTCCTCACTGGAGTTGCTCTAATCGCAAGTGTTTTGCTGGCCAGTGCTTGTGTAGGATTTCCGCAAATCTTTGGAAATATGTGATTGAATATTGAGATTTTTCTCGGTTTCAGAATGGCGGCTACGAATTGATTATTCATAAAATCGAAAACTGCAAAGGAAGTGTCATTTCAATCGATCCCCAATCTGTGGTCACCCTGACGGAAGATTGTAAAGTCAATTCCAAATCCACTGTGACAACGACTGGCTTCAAAGATGCGGAGGTGAGAATCTAGTGTTTGAAATGCGGTTATGACATTGTAACGGATTTTGCTCATTTGGCACACAAACAGATGACAGTAAAGGTTTCGAAAAATGGGATACCGGTGGTGAAGGAAAAAATGAATCTCTGCACCATGATGGAGGATTCGAAGGGCAACAAGGATGCAGCGGAAATCATGACCATGTTCGGTGTCCCGGATGAATGTCCCGTGACGGCTCAGGAGATAAAAACGGACGAAAGTCAGGAGTACAGCTTGGAAAAGTACAAACAACACCTAATGATGGCCGAGGGACAGATCCTGGTGGATTGCCAAATTACTCACGATTCGGTATGGAAAATACTGTTATTGAAAATTGTTTGACGATTTTAATCAGTTGCTCTGTTTTTTTTTCAGGGAGAAAGCTGCATCAAAATTCAAATGGAAGTGAAGAAACCAGGTGGAATGCTGGGATAAGTTTGACGCCGAAATGATTGGATGCGTTTGAAAAATTGATTATTCATTAAATTGCTTCAAGGCAATTACAAGTAACCATTCTTTTTTTTCTACAGAAACTCTCCGAATTTGAGGAAACGGTAGTTTAACTATTTTTCCAAACATGTGCTCCCTACCCAATTTCAAGCACCCGAAAATTGTTTTCATATGGAATTCACCATAAAAAAGGAGATTTTTTGGCATTACTACATCCCTACTGGGACTTTACATACCGGGAATCTAACCCAGCCTCATCCACATGGTCTTGGTTTATAGCTGCACCCTGGGCTCTACATTTTCGAAGTTCCAAAATGAACTCGAGTTTTTTTCAACGCATCATTTATATAGCGCCTGTATGTATAAGCAGTTTCTATAAGCATGAGTTTAACTCACAAAATACTGATATTACCAGCAAAATGCTGAATATATTGACGATAAAACAATAACAATCAATAACGATGTCCGTCCTACCCCCAGTTATCCTGATAGTTAACCAAAGGTCAAAAGTAGATTTGATTACAGATTTTTTAAAGTAATTTTCCAATAACCGAAACGATTACCGTGTGCTCAGCAATTAAGAGTACAGTGAAAACATTACCGATCTCGGTGATTTTTAACGAGTGTGAAGGCGCTAAAACTTGGTTGAAGTTGATTTACATCCTGTTTGTTTATTACTGCTATCAGAACCCTTTAATCGGTAGTTAGCATTATTTGAATCTCCCAACCCATATCATCTGCACAAACTCTGCCGTAAGCACTGGAACCTGTTTTCCTGAATGCAATCCTCTCAACTCTCCATACAGGTATCTTGCATCCCGACTACCAGTCAGCTGAGTCAATTCCACTCATTCCTCACAATGGCTCTTGAAATTATTCTATTACTCATTTGATCAAACAATTGCACCTCGTATTATAGCGAGAGATAGAGAGAGAGAAGACAAGCTCAGGCAAATTGATTTGACGGTCGATCATATATAGGGTAATGGATGTATTTTGGACCACCAGGCTACATTTTGCATATTTTATAACATAAAATTAATAAAATTTTAGAATATCGTGAAAGTTACAAGAAAATTATTACCCTACTTAGCGTTTTCCATTTCTGTTTTTAGTCAAATGTTTCATTTAGGCTCCGAACCATTTGGCGATTTTTTAAATTTTTGGTTATCGATAAACCCTGCTATCCGAGCATGGTTATTTTTGACAGACAAGAAGTTAAATTTTGACAACCGTGGCTCGAAAACCGGTCGATCGACAGCACGGGGATTTTCGAACATAGAAAATAACTTTCGAAATGTCACTTTTAACCACGAGATAAATTTAACTCGACAAATGGTTCACAGCCTTAGTGGTAGTAAATCGAAAATATTCTCACGCATTTTACACCAGTGTTGCAAAATATCGATACAAAATGCTGACTTTCACTAGCTGCCTGATGTCAGTATCAGTTCAGACAGTTAGAATTAGACCTGTGCGCCGATCAAAATATTTTCGGCGGCGGCGTGATATGTTATTTCCTGCCGGCGGCGGCGGCGTGGCGGCGTCACGCCGTTTGTTTTCGGCGGCGGCGGCGTGGCGGCGTGGGTCGGCGTGAGTTTATTTTTAATGATTTAGAAAAAAATATTTTTCAAACTAATCCCACATGTACAAAAAATGCTACCCACATTTGAGTTCAGATTACTAAAAATTGCTAAAACGTAGGTCACTCATAGTGTGAATAAATTTTGCGACACTTTCCCGGGAAAAACTTCTTGAATATGTAGAAAATTTAAGAAAATTTTACACACGTTTAGAAGTGCACTAGTGGAACAACTACAACCACATTCAGTTTTCCTCATATTCGAGAAGTTTTCCTCGGAAAATTAATTCATTCTATGGGTGAGCTACGTTAACTTTTTATTAAGAATAAGAAAAGTACGTTATGTAGAGGTGGATAGTATTGAAAAGCAATCTTTTATCATTTATTGAGCATTATACGTTATTTATATGTTGATAAATAATGTGCTTTTATTACTCTGATGCATATTTGAATGTACGCGCATTGTAGTCATATAACTTTTGTTTATGTATTTGAAGATGAAGTCTTGCGGATATACGTAGAATCCCGCACAACTTGGACCTGTTAGAGATTATAAAAAAGGTTTCAATTTTCAGCGTGTTGTTAATAATAGTCCCTTATTCACCTTTATGTAAATCCGATCCTCGTCAGTACGCCAGTGATTATTGCACAATTCTATTTTTGCAAATGCTGTAATTGTCATGAATTAAGATTGTTTTATCCACATTCTTATGGTGGATGCCTGACCGACGTGCAGATACGGTCGGCCCAGCTATGTTAAAAACTCGTTCACTTGGTGTGCACACACAATACCTTTCGCGAGACTTTGCGAACCAAGGCTGCGAAGCTTTCTAATTTCCCAAAAGCAGATAATATCTCCATCTACAACGTTGTTCGGGTATGACGTAGTCAAATATGCGGTGCACTCTTTCTCGATGACAGAGGTCACACTATCTTCAACGTTTGAATGCTTCATAGCAAGACTGAGCAACGAGAAAGATGAGTTAGAAGGAAGTTCATCGCATTCATCTGATGTAGTTACCGATTAGAAACCCATTTGAATATTCGTTTTTTAATGATGTCCGTACAATAAATTCATATCATATAGTACGTACAAGAAATTGGCAATCGAGCGTTCATCCAAAGCACTTTTAATGCATTTCAGGTTCATAAATCGAGGGTCAAGTAAAGTCGAAATCAAAATTAGGTCCTTAACAGGAAACTTTCGATTCAGATGCTCCTTCATCCCCAGATTCATGGCAAGCAAATCCTCTTTTTTTTCACTGATAAGGGCTTCAATCTCAGATCGCAAGAGCATGGCAATGTTAACTGTTGCATTCTTTTCAGCAGACAACAGGGTTACTATAATCTGTAAACCTAAACGGAATTTTACTACAATCTTTTCACCACCATGTCTTAGAAACAGACTAGAGTAAAATCACATTGGAACTAAAATGAAACTTTTCACACTAGACGTTCGCTACGTGATCGACTTTTAACTGGCACGTTTTTAACTTGTCCGCTAACTGAGACAATTTGTCAGTTGAAGTACATTTTCTTCCAAAATGATGCAATTTCAAAATGTCAAGATGAATTGGATGAACACTGATGCTTTTTAAATGCATTTAAATTAGTGAATTCCGTTCGTTAGGTGAAAATCAAACATTATTTTCTCAGCTATCGAATGTCTAGTGTATCAGTAAACAAACATCTGATCTTCAATGCACTGGTTGGATATTAATTTTCAAACCCTATATGGTCACCAATCGGTCAGATGGAACTTATTACTAGGCTTAGTTGCTAGAGATATAGCAACAATAGTTTACAATTATAGTTTCAGAACCATGACTTAAAAAAAAAAACTCACCTCAAACGGCTCAAGAAAGTTTCGGAAGTATTTAACTAGCGCCCACTCATGTGCTGTGAATATGATATCGTGAGACGGTTCAATAAAGCATTCACGGCAGCTTTATTTAGTTCAAGACTTTTCATCATCTTACGTAAGTAATGCTAACGTGTTACGCTGATTGTTTTAAGTGTTGGGGCTTATTTAGGTCCTTGACGGAACATTTACATTCGTTTCACACAAACTCGGAAGTTTAGCATTTAGCTAATCCTCCATACTAGATAACGGGTTTTGCTCATCCATATCAAGTCAATCTCCAGATTCTTCGATATCGGTTAAGATGTGTCTGTTTTTTTTTTATTTCGACTTACAATTCCCGACCTCGGTATCACCCGGTCTCTTCTTAGCCTCTAACATGCATAACAAGCAGATCACTTTCTCCTTCAATATATGTATTTTCACGTCACTCTTCCCACGATTCACTTCAAAGGTTTTTTCCTCTCGAAGTATCAATCGACAGAAAATTCAAGGGAATTTTATTTAAATTCAAATTAGACGCCGGAAGCCGTCGTGAATGGAAACAAAACCTCCAAAAATCAAATGTGTAAAAACGAGACCGATGCGCAGGATCTATAGGTGGGGCAGAAGGAAACGTAAGTCGACTGTTTCATTCATCCGGTGTTCTCGTCGGATCGAGAGAAAGAAAGAGTCGGCTAGTTTCCTTCTGCCTCACCTGTAGATCTGGCCGTTCTTGCTCATCGAGACGAAACCAGTGAACTGAGATTTTTGACGTTTGATCAGCGCACCAAAACGCAATCTCGAACAAGTACGAGCAGAAGGACAAATAGTGAATCATCCCTGTGTGCTAGATAGAGCAAGTGCGTACAAACGTCAAAAAACTAATAGCGAATTCGTTTATTATTCAGTTCCAATCCGGATCGGGTATCAAAATTGGGTCTGCTTGTTTTCTGACAAACGTCAGTTTGCTCGTTTGTTTTTAAAACCCAGCTCCGGTTCAGGTTCGCACTGCCAAAAACTTCGGTTTCAAACTGATAATAAACGAATTCGCTATAAATGACGCTAAAAAGTTGCCTCATACAGGCTTGTTTGAGGTTACTCAAACATGAGTCAGACATTTTCATTTTCATAACTTCTTTTGAAACGTCAAAGCATAAGTAGTTGGGATTTCTGAATATGAGCAACATTGCGGATCTCAATTTTAAGATTTCAGCACATTTGTTGACTCAAAAAGAAACAAACTGGAATTGTGAGCAGGCTTGAAAAATCTCATTACAGCTAAATATTTTTTTAAGTAAGATCCAAGAAGAGGAGGTAAAGTTTGTATAGGACACATAAAACCTGTCAATTTTGCATTCACAGGGTCACAATTAGCTATTTTAGCTGTAATGAGATATTTCAATGAGTGAATACCCTTCGTTATAACTAATAGCTAATTGCGACACTCTGGAAGTGATATTGACAGGTTTTATGTGTCCTACACAAGCTTTACCTCCTCTTCTTGTATCTTGCATATCAAAAATATTATTTCAATATCCCATAGTTTCATAATTTCTAAAAGTAGCTG